ACTTTGGTTTCTTTGGATATTGATGGAAATGAAATTGGTTTTGAAGGAGGAAAAGCATTATCTGATGTTCTCTGTAAAAATGCTGCTTTGACTTTTTTGGACATTAGTTTTAATCATATCGGTGATGAAGGAAGAAAAGCTTTAGCAGATGCCCTTTGTAAAAATAATACTTTGACTTCTTTAGATATTGGTTATAATTTTATCGGTGTTGAAGATAGAAAAGCTTTAGATTATGCTCTTTGCATAAATAATACTTTGATCTCTTTGCATAAATAATAGTTTGATCTCTTTAAATGTATGCCAGTCAACTCGGTTCTGAAGGAAGAACAGTATTAGTATTGGCTCTTCTCAACACTTAATTGATTACATTGAATACGTATTTGTAATAATCAGATTGATTTCGAAGTAAAAGTATTATCAGATGTTCTTACAAAAATATTACTTTAACTTTGGATTTAGTTTTAATAAGATCGGTGGCGAAGAAGTAAAAGCATTAACTGATGTTCTTTGCAAAAATATTACTTTTAACTTCTTTGGATTTTAATTTTAATAAGATCGGTGACGAAGGGAAGAAAGTATTGGCGGAAAGAATACTACCCTGACTTATTTTAGTTATTAATGGTAATCGGGAAGAAAGTACAGTAATTTAAAATATCTTTTACTGTACAATGAGAAAAAGTATTGTTTTGATTTAACATAAAAAATGTTTAGTAGAAATTTATTATAACTTCTTTAAACCTTTGTTATAATCAGCTTAATTTTTTGAAGTAGAAAGAATCATTTATTAAGATCTTTTATGAGAACTTCACATCTTAGATATTGCAATTGTAGTAGCAGGGGCTTTTTTGTAAATACATTTCTTTTTTCGAATATCTGTTTTATTAGTTTGCATTTTGCTAACTAATCTGAATTCACGGATGCAATATTAACCAATAGAAATTTTAAGATAAATCTTTGTTCTTGTATTAAATTGAGTATTTTCTATACCAATATGCTGTATATATAAATTTTTTTTTATTATTTTCGGATTATTTAAATAGCGTCTTTGAATATTGGTGACGGAATAATATATAAATTTCAGATAAATTAGCTGGTGAATTTGTCCCAATGAGTTATAATTCGGCAAGCAGCAAATTTGGCGGAAATAGGAGACCTTTAGGACAGGGTTGGCAATGGAGTTCAATGGAGCCAATGGAGCTGCGAATGGAGCCAATGGAGTTGCGAATGGAGCCAATGGATACTAGTTTTTTGAACTCCATTCACATAACTATTTAACTCCATTGGCTCCATTGCCAACCCTGCTCTAGACCATAGAGATCACCTTAAAAAAAAATATATATATATATACAGTATATATAGTTATAAACTCATTGTAAACTTATTATTTAAAAAAAACATTTTAAACATGTTTTTGAAACATTATTTGCTAGTTTTAAACCCAATATCAATTTTTTACAAGTCTCTGTAAAGTTAGTACTATAAAGCAAAAAAAATAGAACCAGCGCATCGCTTAAAGATATCAACTGGTTAAAACAAATAATTAAAATTAGTAGTTTTCTTAATTTGTAACAACAGATTGAGTTGAATAGAATTGATTTTATATGCATTTATTAAATATTGCTATTTAAAATAAAAACTTTGCTATTTTTCATTGCTGATAAGAAAAGAATTGATATGTCAATGTAATCACTTAGCATGAATACTGTATTTATAAGACCCTTGACAAAATAGGATATAGCTCATTAGAAGTGGAACCTTTTTATAAACCTTAACTAAAATCAGCTAAAAAAACATTAATTGAAAAGGGAATGACTGAATTTATTCGCTATATTTTGTTGCGTCATCCTGTTTTTTTGAATACTTGTATGATGTGTTAACTTGTTCGATCGAAGAAAAATTAAGCTTGTATCGAACAATACAGTACCACCTAAATTTTAATATTCTAATAGCTTTTGCTTAAACGGCTATAATCACCACTTCTTTAAAGCTATGGCATGTTATTAGGTTTAAAAAAATAATGGCTATTGCGAACGGACCGCGATTATAAAGTCCAGATACCTAAAGTTTTGTCCATGTTCAACAACGATCATATACTAATAAGAATTAACTTAGATACCATATACAGTATTTAATATATTTGGTCACTTCGAATAGTTTTCTTCCTTTAATAATTATCAAATGAAAACTTATAGGTATGTACAAATTCAACAAATCACTATTTACTACTGAATATATAGTGGTATTTAGTAATCTCAAATTTCATAGTGCAAATCTTTTAATGACGGAATTGCACCATCTGAATTCCATGACGAATGCGGCTGTTGAGTTGCATAATGTTGTATACTCTTTGATTCTTCGCGTGGTGGCAATTGTGGCTGTTGCTGCTGTGGGACGTCAGATTGTTGTTGTGCTTGAGATGATTGTTTAACAATTTTACGAATCAATTCCAATGATTGTTCAACGGTGAAACTTAAATATCTCTGTTCATAATCTATTTCGGGTTGATCTTGCGTTCTATTAAGCGAAGGAAGATAAAGGTTACATTGGACTTCATTAATTAAAGCCTCATAAGGTGTCAATGACGATTTTTTTGCTTTCTCAAATTGTTCAGCTCTAACTCCATTCGATTTTGAAGTTGGTGAATCTGTTACAGAAGTTTTTATGGATTTTCTAGGAATAAATTCTTTTGTCATTGAAAATGAATAATTATAAGTAAATATATAAATATATTAAAAATATATATGTATGTTTATCCGTGATATTATACAACGAACTACCTTTTCTACTTTTTCTGGCTTCCTCTTCTGCTCTGCGTGAATCTTCCAAATTTTTTAATCGATTTCGTTCATTAACACGGGCCCATGTATCTTGTTTTTGAGAACGAGATGTTTCTGAAAGTATCCTATCTATCTCTGCAAGACGTGAAGCATAGTTTTGTGCTTCTTTGGCATTCCCTTGAGCAATTGCTAAGTTCTTTTGAGTTACCAAGGTAGTTTTTTCGGTTAGTAAATTTATAGGTTCAACTCCTCCACGAAGGGTTTGCTTCTGTTTTATCATTATATCAACATCTTGCTATTTAATCAGTAATTAAGAAATATTTTAAATAAAACGTTTAATGCTTATGTTTATGTACGCACGACCTATTCGTAAATTTTACCTCGGAAAGAATATATTCATCAGCAGATTTAATTTGTTCTTTCTTTTTCATTATTGCTTCTTTCGTTGGCAAGTCAAACTTTTTAATTTTCATAGTTACTGTCCAACGATCAAACTCAGACTAATAACGGATAAATATATAAATAAAGCATTTGTAGTATAAAGATAAAAAAGAAACTTTTTAATAAAATATCAACCTGTTCAAACTTTCCGTTTGAAATAATATTCATTTGCCAACTTTTTACAGCATCGGCATGTTTAAGACGTAATACTTTATTCGTCTTTACTTTATCGTTCGCATCTATCAAATATGGTTGTACCCTTTCTGGTACTTCAACACCTATGATGTGAATCGCAAGTAATATTTTTTATGAATAAAAAAAAAAAAACATAAAATAAACCAAACAAAACAACAAATAAAGTGAAATAAGATAGAAACATGCCTACAATCTCGCAAACACGATAGATTTGTTTACCATTTTGTAATCCAATATGCAAACGAACAAAACAACCAACTACAATTTTCTCAAAGAAAGGCTTATAGACCCAATCACTAAACTGATGTCTGGTCAATTGTATATCTCTGATATCATCAAGTGTGATATCCTAAAAATAAATGTAAAAAAAGAATTATTAAAAAAAATGAATAAATAAATAAATATATTTATATATTACTCACTTCAGAATCATCATCCTTATTTCGTTCCCCACTTTCATCCTCTTCATAGAACATGTCATCTTCGTCACCGGTTGTAATATGTTCACCAGGTTCTGGACTCTGTGATCCCTTGGTTACAAAGAGAATCAAAAATTCGGAATTTTATATTGAAAACAACAACAAGATATTAATGCTGATACTCACAGCTCTTGTTCGCTGACTTTGATTTTTTTGTGCTCGTCGACGTCTAAGTTCTTCGAAATCTCCTCTCTTTCTTGAATCCTTTGTTCTGGAAGATCCTTAAAATATTTTCGAAAAGAATATTGATATTTTATAAATAAATTTTAAATTTTGTTCTACCCTGTTCTTTATGATAAAAAAAAAAAAATTCATACTTCTTGTTGTACCACCATCTTCACTATTTATCATTAACTGTACTGCTTCTAAATCTTTATGATGTTGTATCTGAAATCAAAAATGATGAAAGTCAATCTAAAACTATGGATGTTCTAATGTAACAAACCAGTGATGCCTACTTTTTCAGCTCTTTCAGCCAATATTCTTTCACGATCGAGCTCAACAAGGTTCTCTAATCTTCATAAAGGAAATATAATTAATGGTTAAGTTTAAAAAATTTTTTTACTAAACGGATGGATGCATTCATGTACCTATCTCGATCATCCTCATCATGGTACAATTCAGAATCAAACTCGTCTGTATCTCTTCGTCTTTCGTTACCCTCACCATCTTCTTCCGAGTATCCTCCGCGACGAGGTGATGTAGTAGACCTCCTTCAATAATATATAAAGAAATAGTAGGAAGAGAAAAGAAAAGAATTTATGTTGAAAAAGGTGTTTTGAAAACCAACTGGTTGAGTATAATAAAGATAACCGTAGAAACTATTTTTCTCGATTCAAAACAAACTTTCTTAAATTTCTTAATCTCTCACCCAATATTCCGTTGTTGTGGCATTTTTACCAACGTTTTGAGGTGGAAAGAAGAAAACGGTTTAGAAGTTGATTTCTAAGTGGCGTTTTCTTGAACTGTATTTATAAGTTTACGCAACACTGTATAGCCGAATTTTTGATATGCCATATGACTAACATACCCATACGTTTAATATTACATATATATGACTTATGTATATATATATTTATCTATAGTATTATGTATATAATATAAACGGTAACCTAGGAGATTATATATATTGCACTAATGGTTGCTTACTTTCGTTTCTGGTTGGAGGTCCTAGATGATCGTTTTTCTTGCGCGTATTCATTACTACTAGACGGCTCAGGTTGTAGGCTGTTCAACCTTTCGTTCTCTTCGTCTCCAAAGAGTTCGAGAATTTCGTCTAGCACTTCGTCTACTTCGCCCATTATTTTTGATTTTTATTACTTTTTTTTTATTTTTTATTTTTTTGTGATCGTTATATAATTTATTAATATTTAAATGAGTTAAGCTCAAAATTTACGTTGAATAGAGTTGATGGATTTTTCTGAGTTTCAAAGATTATGTCGATATGTTTATATGTGATTTCAGTAACTATTAAAGTATCCTTAACCAATGAAGATCTTGCCTTTTCGGCTTGTAGTACACACTTATGGTACAAACAATTGAATTAAACTCAACTATTAAGAATGCTAATAGATCCTAAATGACCCCTTAGAACCTTTAAATCAACCGAGTCAATCAAATCTACATACATGACAAATGTCGGCCAAAGGAATGCTGCAATTTCTAAATACTGTATATAAAAATAATGCAGCCAACATTATCATATCCTAGTATAAGAAATTAGTCTAATTTGACATTTTTGTAAATCATTCTAACAAATTTGTCCGCGGCAAAATATCCAACAGAGCCTTAAAAAATATATTATTAAGTATAAAAGTTATACTATTAATAAAGGCGTAAAATTAAATCTACCTACCTAACATTATAAACAAACCCGCACAAATTATCGCAGTATTCCCAAAGTAAAAAGAAGTTTGGAAAAGACCATACATTCTAAAAAAAAATCAAAAAAGGAGAAATTTAGAACACACGTTTTTATTGCAATTTTGCACGTATTTTTTTTTAAAAAAATTCTTACTTCGTTCGATTAATGAAATAATATACAGCGTAAAGATAGACATAAACAGCGGTTGAACCACAAGTTAAGAAACTCATCCAATGCCTATCATATTTTATGAAATGGATATATTAATGGCTAATAACCGTTTTTTTAATGACAAGCAATTAATAACAGGATTTAACACGAACCATCGATGATCTTCATTATTAAGCAATATATACGTACTGACTATAGTGACACAAGAAGTAACGATCAAGAGAATAATGAAAACAAATAACATGAATCCATATACATAGTAGATTTTATATGCCCAAAATGATGAGAAAATAAAATAAATCTCTATGAATATGGACGCGAACGGGAGAACACCGCCAAGAGCGACTATCACAAGGGGTTCAGCGTACCTAAGTTTTATACGGATTGAAATTAAACATACGAAGCAGATGTAGATAACAATAATAAATCAGAATTTTTAACAGCATTACCAAATTTTCTCAGGAATAGGTCGCGGAATAGGATTAACGCGACAAGGAAAATTTGGCTGACTTGCCCAATTGCGACAAAGGATAGCCCCCAGAAATGTCAATGGAAATGCAAGGAACATCCAAATTGCAGAAATCACTAACTGCAGAAAATTGGTTTGAGTAGTTTAAATTAAAGCTAAATTTGTAATAACGCTTAATCGGTGAACATACCATGGCTGTAAACGGAATTGCCCGCGAACTAGAGTAATATACGGCAACAAAATTGATCATAGCCGTCATAACACTGATTATCCCTGGCCACAAAGTAGCAGTCACAAGAATATTTTTTATCCAATTACGACCTTTAAATGGTATAACGAGTAGATTGTTAACATCATTGTAAAAAAAAAAAACCAATTAAATATTCAGACCAATACCTCCATAAATCTGATATGTGTTCGCACTGGAATATCCTGCAATGGCAGACGTCAAGATATAAAAGAATATTGAAGCCGTCAGTATAGTGGCACGCCTAATACAAAGAAATAATAAATTTAACAGTTATAAAAATTGGTTTAATTGCTTAATTTCTGATTATAAATGGTATCAGTTCAAATTGAAATTAAAAGCAAGTATTCACTCTGCGTATAAATCTCTAATTATTATATACAGAATCATAACCAAAGTTAGCCACATCAACTGGTGTCCAGTACCGACTAGAGATGAAAACAATAGTAATGAACGAGGTGCACGAAAAACGTCACCATGAACTTGTTTCCAACCATATTCATCACCAAGGTCATGATCCTTTAAATAAATCAATAAAAATAAGTAAGCATATAATAGTAGATCCGTGATTGATTTTAGAAATCAAAGAAAAATTAAATCATACCAAATCACCAAGAGCCTCCTCCTTGTCATACCTAGCGTAATCCTTTTTTAGCATACGCAACAATATGACGCTGACAAAGCCGGCCAAAAGCATAACCATGATAAATGAATTGAAAATTGAAAACCAATGAATCTATATAAAATATATAATATATACATATCGAGTTAACCCAAAATTCTCCCAGGCTATTAACAATGAAATAATTACCTTATGTTCAAAAAATTCTGTATCCAGTAATTTATCAAATCTCGAGTCAAATGAATCCTCAGTAGGTTCCCATCTTACCGAATATGAAAATCGTACTGGTATATCTCGAGTTTCCCAATACAATTTGACCGGATTTCCACTTTCGAGTTTGACTTGGATTATCTAAAAGCGATACCAATTTTAATATGTATTCTACTAATATACATGCAACTAATATCGTGTATTGCAGTACCTTATCATGATTATAGCTTATTACAAAATCCCTATGAGTATATAAGTAAGCATCACCGGTGTTTGCATCAAACTCTCCGACAAATCCTATTGATGAACAGAATGCAACTATCTAATCAGAAATTTTATCATTGTCTACTTAAAAATTCAAAGTGATAAATAGAAATTTTACCCCAAACTGGTAATTCATCTAAATTCCGGAACCAAAACAAAAAGAGTTGATTGATATCCGAAGCATTTTGATTTATACACAACAGTTTTCGTGACACAAGATTTTATTTACCTAAAAATAACTGATACCAGTAATTATTGGAAACAGCATAACGGAAAAGATTGACATCCTTTGCCGTTAATCCTTTATCACAAATTGTGACATTTTCTTCGTTTACTAAAAATAAAAAAAGATTCAGAATACTTTTCATGTAATATAACCACAATATGTTTATTAATCAAACTAAATGTGCCAAAAAATTATTTCTACTCAATTTTTCTTAATTTTGTTTTTAAAATATAAAAATTGACACGCACTATCTAACTTGGTAGATGTAATTTAATAATTCCGGTAATATTTCTCTCCTACGAACATTTAATTTACTATCGTCAATTTTGCCTTAAATATGTATAAGATGACAGCACACGATGCGAACCAATAAGAAATAGACATCACACCT